ATTTGTTTTTTAACAAGTTATCTACTATAATACTACTATAATTAATTTATATATTTTCTTTAAAGATTTTAAATTCATAAAATTTATGTAATTTTTTACAAAATTGAAAAGATAAATAAGTTTAATGAAATGGTAAAATTTTATTTTAACCCCTGAACTTCATATAAAATTATAATTATGGACTTTTTTTTAAATCTAAAATAGTTTAAGGATAAATTTATAATTTAACCTTCATAGAATTTTTATTATTCAACGACAGAAGAATGATAATTTTGAAAAAAAAATTAAGGGCATTATAGTCTAAAACACCGGTAATTCAACAATACTTAAGGGAAGAGAGTTAATCACATTCCCGGTAATATACTCAAAAATTCACTGTTGATAATAAAATATTACCGAGAATAATAATATCGGCCAACCAAATGGGAGAATGAGGATATCATTCTCTGATAATATTGTATGCCGTGAACCAAACGACCCTTAAAGATTTCAAGGACAGCCCAATTGAGAGACCAATGAAATAACTGAATCAAGATTGCCATGAAAATCACAAAAAACGATGGTGGTGAAATTTGGAAAGCAAAGGAAGAGATTCGAGGGTGGGTCGGTGATGGTGAGAGTGCGACGAAGATGATAGGGGAAGAAGGGCCCGAGTAGGTTATTAAAATATTATTTATTTTAGTTTTAATTTATTTTAATTTATTAAAATCAAATTAAGTATCATTGAGGCGTGTTCTGACTAGTCATAGATCATTTTTTAATTGAGTTAACAATTTGGGATAAACGAGATATTGGTTTAAACTTTATGAGGACAAAGTACTAAAAGATACTTTAAACATTTAGATACAAATGGTATATTTTATGAAATAATGATGAATTTAAGCCAAAATTTAATTAACTGGTAACAAATTCTTTACTACATTTCAAATATTTTCCTCATTTTCTTTGATCTTCTTGATTTTTCACTTAAAAATAAACTAATCAAAACTCATTTAGACAAATTTTTTTGAAGTTGGAACACTAAAAGCAAACACAATGAGATGGTTAATGATAATAGAATCATATTTAGTTGATAACAAACATCAAATAAGATTTCAATCGAATAAACATATCCTTCAAAACTTCTCATTCTTCCTTCTTTTATATTCATTCGGATTTTCTTTCTTCACTTATGCATACTTCCAGTTTGTTGAAAGAAAAATGGTCCAGCGGTTCAAGACAGACCCATTTGTTCCAGGCTTGAGTCCCTTTATGACTATATTTATTTCTGTTTTTTGTCATGGGTTGCAATAGGTTATATATAAAATGTTATAACTCACTACCAAATAATGAGCTTGATCCAGTGGTTCAAGCATGCTTATTATTTAATTATAATAAATATTCACTTTTATTATCAAAACTATTTAATAAATTTAATCTACTTATAAGAATAATTAAATTTTTAATGAGCATAATTTGTCTCCAACCTGGACTCAAACGTGACATAAAAACGGACCCATTCACATCACCAATTTAATACAACTATATGTTTTCTATGGTTTGGGTTTTGGGGTACTATAATTATAAATAAATTAATGAATGTAGTGATAGAATAAAACAAAGTAGTAATGGCTACGAAAGTCTGATGTTAATTTGTATTTTGTTTGAAAGTTGCGACATGTGCACATGGGGGTTGATCAATATGTTATTGGACCACTGGGCTTGCAGTTCAAAAATCTAAAGTATCAATTTTCAACGTTCATCCATATGGAATAAGTAACACACCTACTGGATGAGAGTAATAAAGTTTCTACTTTCAGCTTATACCTATACTACCTATGTTGTTTCTAACTTCAAATTCAATTTTAAATTTGTCTTATAATTTTAAAACTAAAAACATTTTGTCTTGGTTCAATTTTTATGTCGTAAAAGAACCAAATGGAGAGTTGTTGGATGTGGCAGATAAAACCAAACAAATTTGATTGATTGCAGGGACAGATCTGGTGTCTTCGGATAAGAATTCATAAACCCATACGGTGTATGAAATAAAATGTGAGCAATTCCGAATTTTTAATTATTAGTGTGTTGATTTTTAAAATTTAAGTTGAATTTTTTAATTTTATATAATATAAAATGAGTTTAGAGCATGCGTCACACATTGAAATGTATTGTTAATATTACACACTGATGCACACCACCAATTAAACTATCCTATTAAAATAAATATTGAAAAATATAATGACTTATCCACAATTAATCTTTTATTGTTATTTAGCTTAAATTTTAATAGGAATATGATTAATTTATATTTTTTATTAAAAATATAATTATTTTAGGATTTTTATTTATTTAGGATTGAAACACTTAATTTATATAAATTTACATATTCATCCCAGTAACAACCATCAAACTAACCATTATCGATCGTATTCATCGCCAAAAAATCGTGTTTCTTGCAAGTGGTTATGTAATGTCATCCCCACTAGGCTTTTCCCAAGATCATGTAAATTTTTTCACAAATGCATATTAGTTTATTCAGTTAGTTAAAGAATTATTAATAATTTTCGATTTATCTGTAATTGGAGCTAGGGGTGTGTAAAGTTTGATATCGGATCCGATCCGATCTTAAACCCATACGATGTATGAAATAAAATTTGAATAATTCAGAATTTTTAATTATTAGTGCATTGATTTTAAAATTTAATTTGAATTCTTTAATTTTGTATAATATATGTATATTATATAAAAAAATATGAAGAAATATATATATTGTATACGATTATTCAAAATCGTTCTACTATTATAATTATTTATAATTAAAATTTAAACTATAAAATAACATTCATTAACCCACATAACTTAAAACCTTTTCATTTCACTCGACTCGGTCGAACATTCATCCTTAACTCTTCGGATTTAGTGGGTGAAATCAATAAAATTGTCTATTACAAATACTATTCATTTTTTGTTTAATTTTTTACTCCAGGAAAACTCCAAATGTCAAATTAAAAATATAATATAATAATTTATAAAGGTTATTAAAATTTTAAACGGCAATATTAATTTATTATTATAATTTTTTTATAATTCAAAGATTTAACTGAAAATACTTTTATAATTAAGATATTATTTTTTATATTTTATCCTTTAATTTAATCACATAAAATCGAATCTTCTGTTGGGTAGAAGATAGGAATGTGGATCCTATCCACTAACCTTTTCCCATATCTCAGTAGCTGCACCGACAATTTCCCCCTCATATTTTATATGCTTCTTTTTCTTTTTTTAATATTATTTTTCGAAGATTTCAATTTAAAATATTTAATTATCTCTTCCGTATTAATGAAAAGTCGAAAACCACTATTTTAAAAGTAAAGCTTCTGCCACAGTCATACTCATAATTTGTGTGGGAATAAGAATGTGGGCCATGTTATGTACAACGTTTAACACTCTATTCATACCGAGAGTGATATCAAGTCAAAGAAATTTGTTTAAATTATGATTTTGTTTTTCCTATTATATTTAATCTGAGGTTTTATTATTATATTTTAGTTTAATTTCTATATTATTATTAACATTCTGTTTTAGTCTAAATCAATAATGCTTTTAATATATTTCACTATCAAACCGATGTAGAATTTTAAATTTTTTGTTGGATGAATTAGATTTTAAAAAATTGAAAAACTCAAATGAGCAACTTTTACAAGATGATTTTATAAAAGGAAAAAATCATAGTTGGACCAAATAATATTCACGGAGAAAACACTAGGAAGTTAAAACCAACTCATGCTATATTAAACTTTTTCTAATATTATGATATGGTTATAAGATCGTATTTGTTTATAATTCTTCTTAAATTTTAACGATTAATGAAGATATACATTCTACAAATATAATTATTCGAACACACAGCTTCAGGAAGAAAAACACTCTTTTAACCACTGAGATCAGTCAATGAATATTCATACTAAGATATTTTTTTCTAATGAGCTCATACTAGGATTTTTTATTCAGTGAGTCGATCACGAGTTAGACAGTACTCGTACTCGCTAAAAAATGTGTCCCTCGACTCATGCTTTTAAGCTCACCATAATTTTTACCTTGTTTTTTTTATTATATGTAAAATATAATAATACTATATAGAGCTTAATATAAACATAAATTAATAAATTTAACCCAAAATATTATCAAATGAGTGTATGAAGTAATTTCAAAGTATAAACTCTAAAATAATAATTCCCAAATACATCAGCCTAATACATTTATAAATTTATAAATTATTAAATTAGTAATAATTAATTAGTAATTTATCATATTTCTTATTTTCTATTAGCAAATTAATAATTATTATATAGTTTTTTTTGAATAAAATATGCTATTAAATAAATAAATAAATAACGAAATATTCGCAAACTTTATTAGTCAACTTGGACCTTACTTAATCCAACTCATTAAGTTCTCTAGTTCATCTCGAATTGAATTCGAATTAATTCGAGTGAACCCAAGTCGAGCATTAATCAAAATTTAACTGAATCAAATTCGAGCAGCTTACGAAATGCTCAACTCATGAAGGAATCCTAACTCATACTAAGATATCTACAAAGCAAAACGGGGGTTTTTTGGAACTGAAGATGAGTTTTTTTTAATAACTCTCATGTAAAGAAGGGGAAGAAAGATTTTGTTCATGATCAATAATTTAGAAGAAAAAAATGTTAATTAAGAGCTTTTAATCATGTGTTCAAGAAATTGTTGACGGAAAAAATTGTTAACGGAAGAAATTATTATTTATTCTTAATTGATGATAAGCATATTTCATCATAAAATAAGAAAAATATAAAAGAAATATAAATTCATTAAATAATATTATTAATAAAATGAGGATATTATTTTCTTTAAATATTTAAATATAAGTAATTATATTTGTTATATATATTATTAACAGATTAATTTAAATATACATTATTTTATAATTATTCAGACTAAATCGGACTGAATGCGAAATGAAGTAATTTTCCCATTAATTATGGAGAAGAAGTCGGTCTGAAAATACAAATAATAGAGATTTGCTCCGCCCATTGCTGCTGCTGCTTGCTTGCTGTAAAGCATCAGTTTTGTTGTCTCTTTAATTAACACGCCATTTATGCTAATTATTATTTTCTCTTCCTAACCCGTTGCTCGCTATAAATGCAAGCACTTGGATCCATACCCTCCTAAGTCATTACTCTCTATCTCTGTCTCTCTCATCTCTCACAAAGAAAAATGACGATATCTGCTTCATTATTGTTTGCCTCCGCCCTGATGCTCACCGTGTGTGCTTTAGGCCCCAACACTCTTGTTTCTGCTAAACGAGTTGCTCCACGTTATGCTTATTCCAAAGTCGCTTCTAAGCCTTTTGAAGGTAAGTTTACACCTGGGTTTTATTTTCATCTTTTCAAGAACCGCTCAAAGATTTCTACTTTATGCAATCTTCTTGAATCTAACTTAATTGCTTATTGCTTCAGGATATCTCGCAAATGGGAACTTCGAAGAACGGCCAAAACCAACAGCAATGAAGAAAACGGTACTTATAGGTCCAAATGCACTTCCCAAATGGACTATCAAAGGGTTAGTGGAGTACATCTCGGGCGGGCCTCAGCCTGGTGGAATGTTTTATGCCGTCGCCCACGGCGTCCATGCCGTGAAGCTCGGCAATGAGGCCTCCATTTCTCAGACCATACCGGTAAAACCAGGCGTGCTCTATGCACTGACCTTTGGTGCGTCCAGAACCTGTGCACAAAATGAGGTGTTGAGAGTCTCGGTGGGTACGCAGTCAGGGGACCTCCCATTGCAGACCTTGTACAGCAGCTTCGGCGATGATGTTTATGCTTGGGGTTTCGTTCCCAAAACCAAGTATGCCACAGTTGTATTCCACAATCCTGGTGTTCAAGAAGATCCGACCTGTGGTCCGTTGTTGGATGCTGTTGCTATTAAGGAGCTTGTCCGTCCAATGCCTACCAGAGGTAAAATCACCTATACCCATTTCTTATAATAGTTTTTATTACATTATAAATATATGGGTTCAGTTGATTCAAATTCTAATTTTTTCCTCGGCATTTTAAGTTTGAATTGGTTTTTATTCAGGTTTGATTCATTTAGATGGAGTAGTATGTTTGTTGGTAAAGTAATTTCAGGTTGGGTCAATTTTATTTTGTTAGTCTAGCTATTGGAATCTGGTCATTTCAAATTTGAATAATTTAAGTTTGCGATTTTTTATATTCGAATTGACATTTGGAACTCATTTAGCAACTTGAGTGATAAGAGAGAGTATTGTTATTATTAGAGGTTTTGGTTTCGAGCAGTGTGACAATAGGGTGTATACATTCATTGTCAATTGATTATGAATATTATAAAGAGAGGTTATCTTGTAATCACCCAAACTAAAGGAGGGAAAAAAAAGGAAGAATTTGACACTTGGTTGCTTTACTTGTTCGGATCTGGGTAGAATGGGTTTATATTGTTGACATTTATGATGAATTGTTCAGATCATTATTTGCTTTTGTATTTAAACCTCTGTTACACAATGCAGATAATCTGGTAAAGAACCATGGCTTTGAAGAGGGTCCTCATCGCCTGGTAAACTCGACTAATGGTGTCTTGCTACCTCCCAAACAAGAGGATTTCATATCTCCACTCCCAGGCTGGATCATCGAATCACTTAAAGCGGTGAAGTTCATCGATTCAAAGCACTTCAATGTCCCGGCCGGATATGCCGCAGTTGAGCTCGTTGCAGGGAGAGAAAGTGCTATTGCCCAGGTTCTCAGGACCGTCCCCAACAAAACATACAAGATAACATTCATCATCGGAGATGCTCGGAACGGTTGCCATGGAGAAATGATGGTGGAGGCATTTGCCGCCAAACAAACCGCCAAAGTTCCCTTCACATCTAGAGGAAAAGGTGAATTCAAGGCTGCAAGCTTGGTGTTCAAAGCAGATTCAGCCAGGACAAGAATTACATTCTACAGCTCTTACTACCACACGAAGAGCAATGACTTTGGGTCTCTTTGCGGTCCTGTTTTGGATGAAGTTCGGGTTTACCCTATTGCTTAGATGCCAAGTTTTTTTTTATCTACAAGCGAAGGATATTGTATTTTTAGCTGTTAGAAGGCTCAATGATCTAAAACCATATATGGCGAAATGTGTTGCCATTGTTCGCTTTCAGGTCACGATGAATATTATATTTAAAAAAAGGATTTCAACATGCTATTGCTACCTTTGATGATTCATTTGATGGTTTTTGCTTCTTGTTTTGTTGACAATCAAAGCATAAGCCTGGGTTTTCAAAGTGAAATTGTCCCAGTTTTTCAGTGGAAGAAAATGGCTACAATAACAAGATTTCATCTAATCATGAGGAAGCCTCGTGTCTTCTTGATCTTTGAAAAGTGTACCAGTGTAGATGCTTTGAGTTCCACTTCCTAGCTGATGTGAACGGGATTTGCGGTCGTATTTTTAGTTGTGTTGTGTTTATTGTGATTGCGAATATAACGAATGTTATTGTTATTATTACAGATATTATGGTTATACAATAACGATTTTGGACAACGCTGATACTACTGTATAACGGTCGCAATAATAGTGATCATATCGATCTTATAGTCGCAGTATAAATTTTGAGAGCAAATGTCTTATGATGGGAAGAAAAGCTCTCGAGATGGAAGTATTAAGTCTCCTTGTTATTGAGGTAAAAGTGAAAAATTAATGTCTTACTAATTATAATCTCATGCATGGTATGACTGTCAAAAGAATTAATGAATTTTCAATGAGAGGTTTATTAACTGATTAAATGATTAAAAATATTCATGTTGTTTTATTTTGCGTTGATTTGTATCTTAAGTCTTAACATATATCTTGAAAGTGTAATAACACCCTACATAATTAAAAAAAAATGAATTTCTCATGGATCTGGTTGACATATATAAAGTATGAGAATAATAATGGTATCTTTTTATTCAAGAAAATATTATAACAAATAATGTAATTTTTCATGTACTGTAAGGATAAAATGAATTTTTTTATGACGTCATTTGTGTTGATAAAATCCTAATGAAGTTGGATAACAGTAGACAATTCACCCTAATTTACTAGATGTCTTAAAACGAACCAAAATAATGTTAAATTGGCTCTCCCTTTTTCTTTATATTCCTTTTAATTAAATTATCTATAGGTGTAAAGCAACAAATCTTATTACCTGTACTCATAAAACAACCATTTAGTCATCTATTTACTAAATTGCTCCTTTAGCCTTTTTCTTTTTTAATTCATTTTCTTTATAACAATTTTGATATAGTCATTCCAACTCATATTTGAAATGTTCAATGGGAGTAATTCAATTTTATAATAATTTTAAATCTCTAAAATGAAATTTTTAAGATTTAAATCTTAAAATTTTATATTAACATTTAATATTAGGGTAAAGTACACGTTTAGTACATGAACTATCACTTTTGTTCTGTTTTTGTGATCCAATTATTATTTTTTGTTTACCAAATGTCATGTTTTGTTTTCATTTTAGTCACCCGCTATTAAAAAATTAACATAATTATTGATGCGACTTTTTAAAAAAAGAATTTAATAATGTCGTGACATTACCTTATGGTAACACATCAGCATCACAATTAATTTTTTTGGTAAACTACTCAAATGACCACTTAACTATGGGGTTAGTAATGATATGACTGTCATACTTTTAATTTTGTCAATATGATCACAAAACTATTTTTAAGTGTTTCAATCAAGTCACATGTCGTTAACATTTAACGAAAGTGATGACATGACAATTAAGATAATTGGTATAATTACAAATTTGATCCTCAATACTTATATATTCTATCGGTTTGGTGACACATATCACGATCATCTATTGACATATGTCACCTCTTGATTAAAGGATTAATTTATTAAATTAATTTTAAATTAAGAGCAAAATAATAAAATATATAAGCATTGAGGATCAAATATGTAATTATACTATACTGTGATTATGCTCTGAAAGGAGCTTCGAGTAGGAAGGAGAAAGTCCCTTGGGAAAGGTTGGTTTGACATTCAGGGCATATCCCTAAGGACTTCCTTATTTCTTAGATGTATGTTTTGGATAGATTACCTACTAGGAGTAGGCAGATTTCCTTTGGCCTTACCATTGAAAGGGAGTGTAGTCTTTGCTCGAGAGTTTTGGAGACCAGAGATCATTTGTCTTTTGAGTGTGAGGTTTCTTGCCTTGTTTGGAGTTGCATTATGCTTCTCTGAAAAGAGAATAGGCAAGTGATGGACTGGAGTTGTGAACTTGATTGGGCATTTCGTAGTTTGAAGGGGAAGTCCCTACGTTCTTGGGTGTTGAAGATAGCTTGGAATAGTTATATTGTTGCGATTTGGAAAGCGAGAAACCAGAAGTTGTTTAAAGGTTGTATGTGGACTGTTTCTGATATGGTAGAACGAATCAAAGATATAATAAAACTGAAGTTGTGGGGTAAGCAATTTAATGGTGCATGCCATGTAGATAGGGAAATATGTTTAGCTTGGCATCTTGAATAATTTGTTTAGGGTAAAGTATATTAATGGTCACTGAACTTTTCTAAATCTTTCATTTAGGTCCCTAACTTTTAAAACTTGTAATACAGTTTCCCAACATTTAGTTCGTTTGCAATATGATCCCTAATATTTAGTTCGTTTGCAATATGGTCACCGACCGTTTGACGCCGTTACACTGTCGTTAGTACGTTTGCAATATGGTCAATGAACTTTTCAGGCGCTTGCATTTAGGTCCCTAACTTTTAAAAGTTGCAACACAGTCCTAAATTTCATTCTAAACCCTAAATTCCTTTTTGATCTCGAATTTCCTTTTTCGCTTCTCTCTTCTCATTTTTAGCGTAACTTTTCAGTCAGGGATGCAAGGGAAATTCTAATCTAACTTTATATTATGTGGAGGTGTTGACTTGAATGAGGGTCCATTGAGAGAAGACTCGACCAAGGGACTATCGGGACCATCAACGATTCAAGGTGTAATGTTAGATACATGTCATCTCATGTGAAGCATAGATGTTTGATGAAATGCTTGTGAGAATAAAATGGGGTTAGAAATACAGAGTTGACAAATACTACTGAGATGAACTAAGTATCATTGTTGAAAGTCACTAACAAAGCTGAAATTATTTTGTATAAATGGCATATAATAAGTTATTCGTTTAATCAATGTCTGTAAAGATTTTCCAACAGATGATAAAAATATAATGAAATCTCAAACAGCGCATCCACCTCTTGTTTTGTTTTTGTTCTTTAATTTTCCGCCATGTAAAATTGTAAACCTAAGCAGTGTTGTGTTTTTCAGCTTTTTATTTACAAAGAAAAAATGGAGGAAGAATTGTTGGAACGCAACACTGATTACGTTTATTTCTTAGTCTCTCCCCTCACTTGCAAGAAGGTATTTATTTTCTCTTTTAGGCTATCCGGAAGTAAGTTTTTCATCTTTCACACTTCCCCATTTTCAGCTTTTATTATGTGTTTTTTGTTGAAATTTTTATGTTTCTGGAACGACATGTCAATGATTTGGATATTCAGTATTAGTTTTGTACCAAAACCTTCTAATTTTCTTTTTTTCTTCTTAATCAAAACTTTTAGTACTCCTTATGAAAGATATCCAGTCCATCAGAATAGAAGTGAAATAGGGTCATAGGCTAATTTTTTTTTATCTTCTTGTTTGGTTTTTCTTTAAATCAGGGAATTGGTTGTGAGTATCGACATAGTGAAATCGCCAGGCTCAATCCGAGAGACTGTTGGTACTAGTTTACTGGGAATTGTATTGATCTGACCTGTGATTTTCGGCGTCCTGTGAGCTCGTATTCTTTTTAATAAATTCATGTTGATTATGAAACTGATATATCGTGAACGAATTACATTTTTTTACATGTTTTAGAAATTTTACAGTTGAATTGTATTGAATTATAGCTTTAGAAGACAATTATGTATGCACGCAACTCAAAAGGCATCATGACATGGTAGTATATTTTGGAGCAGCTACTTGACCTTGTCATGATGTCTTTCGAGTTGCAGAAGAGACTGAGAGGTGAATGCGTTGTTTGGGATTTCATTATATTTGATCATCTGTTGGAAAATCTTTAAGCACAATGATTAAACGAAGAAATTATTATATATCATTTATACAAAATAATTCTAACTTTGTTGGTGACTTTCAACAATGATACTTAGTTCATCTGAGTAGTATTTGTCAACTCTGCATTTCTAACCCCATTTTTTCTCACAAGCATTTCATCGAACATCTATGCTTCACCTGAGATGACATGTATCTAACATTATACCTTGAATCGTTGATGGTCCTGATAGTCTCTTGGTCGGGTATTCTTTTAATGGACCCTTATTCAAGTCAACACCTCCACATAATTCAAAGTTAAATTAGAATTTCCCATGCATTCGTGACTGAAAAGTTATGCTAAAAATGAGAAGAGAGAAGCGACAAAAAAATTCGAGATCGAAAATGAATTTGGGGTTTAGAATGAAATTAAGGATTGTGTTGCAAGTTTTAAAAGTTAGGGGACCTAAATGCAAGCACCTGAAAAGTTCAGTGATCATATTATAAACGTACTAACTGTAACACCCCCAACCCGTATCCGACCCGGATACGAGTATGAGGTGTCACATTGACTTTTCAAACTTTGACTCTTGACAAAATTCAAAGAATTTTTAAACATTTCATTAAAGTAAAGGCGGTTTAGTTACATAAACTGACCACAATAACCAAAATCAATCAGAGCATATTTAATTCAACCAATTAGTACATGCCAACTATACTCAAAATAACCAAAAACATTTAAATCCTCTATTTTCTGATCTAAAATTTTGTAAGGGAGGTGCTGACCTGTCTTACTCTTCTTCGTTTCTCTTCTAGCTTCTGTAACCTACGTGTGAAACAATCACACGCTAAGTCTATGACTTAGTGAGGCATAAAAACTTATAATGCACTTTATAACATATATCAATACATGCATGTTCTGTTCTATCATGCTATACCAAATTACATGATTCCCTCACATCATGAAAAATCATATTAGATTAATTACAATAAATAAATACGTACACATAACTCATCATTAACAGTTTATCATGTAATCACATACTTTTATGCTTAACCTTTTCAATCAAACACTATGCACACACAACATCATATCATTTCTATAACATTTATCATATCAC